ATATCGCAGAGCCCGGAGCTGGTCCCCGTACTGCACTGGGGACGAGCCTGTGCTGGGAGTTTTGGGAATGGCTGCTCCACGGTCTCAGCCTGTGCTGCCCCAGGGCTGTTATTTTTCACCGTTTTCTGTGTTCTTGCGCCGGTCCCACAGTGGTTAGCTGTGAGCCAGCAAGAGGAAGGAAGCCAAGCCTGGGCCTCACGCCTTGGGTTAAAGGGCAGCAATGATAAAAATGCCCGGAATGAGTTCTTTGGCTGAGGAGGAGGCTCGCACCTTGTTTCCATCAGGCAGAGGAACAGAAAGAGCCTGGTATTTCTGCCACGCTGCTCCTCCTCCTTGCCGCAGAGCCTCCATGACACCTATTTCCCTCGCACGCTGCCGGGATCGGAGCGCAGGCTGTGTGTGCATCGACGTGGCTTGCACGCACGCGTGGCCCCACACTCTGGCTTAGGTTGGTGTTACAGCCCCTGCTTGCCCTCCCCGCTCTGTTCCCTCTGTTTTTCCCAAGATCGACCTGCATCCCATGGATGTCCCAGCAGGTGCCTGCATTGGCGTCGTGGGAGCACGCCAACACAGCAGAAACATGAGCTTTTCAGGGCAAAATATCCTGCTCAGCCCTTGGCAAGTCCCATCTGGGTGTTGCTGAATGGAAACCCTCTCTTTTTTGCGTGGTGACTCCCCGAGTGTCGGTAGTGCCATCTCCTTTCCACCATAGTGACATATTGACAGTTATGAAGGCATGAAATGAAATTTGCCTCCTATTGCTGAGGAGGGCTGTGTGGCCAGTACAAAACACCTCCTGCTCACCGCTTTAAAGGAATGAGGTTTTCCTTTTTTTTTTTTTAAAGGAATCAGGGTTTCTCGGAGAGGTGGGAATTTCAGTCAGTAGCAGCAGTAAGGCACACCCTCCTTTTCAAGGGAAACCTAAACCCCCTGTCAGCATCCATCCTATTTTTATCCACTAGCACCAGCTGCTGGATATTGGTGGGAGCAGAAAAACTCGCAGAAATCTGAGCGCCTGGTTAAAAAAGCAGCTGGAAATACAGCAATGGAGCCATCGTCTTCCCCCCCCGTTCCTGCAACCGGACACCTCAGCCCCGGGGCCGTTGAACCCCCAAAGGATCCGGCCT